GTGCTGGGCCTTCAAGTTCGGGGCAAATGGCACCAGGAGCAGCCCAACATCCAGGAAGGACAACTGGTCGTCGTCGCCGAGGACAACCTGCCGCCTCAACAATGGCTGATAGGGAGGATCGTCGCCACGCACGCAGGAGAGGACGGCATGGTCAGGGTCGTCGATGTGAGGACCAGCGGAGGAGGAATGTTTAGGCGGGCCATCCACAAATTGGCGCCGCTTCCAGTTTGTTGAAGCCGGATGGGCCTTCAACGGGGCCGGTGTTGGCTGAAGCCAGTTTGTTTTTGTTGTTTATTTTGAATTGTTAAATAAGTATTATTGAATTGAATTTGAAGTCTAGTATAAGTTAGCTTAGGGCGAAGGCGGGAGCGCAATAAAGCTTTCGTTCGCTCTCTGCGAGTTCGCTCCGTCTTCGCCAACCTTCGGTAAGCTAGGCTTAAGAATAATGTGGAGAATAGATCATTCGTTGAAATTGAGTTTGATCGAGCGCACGCATTTCTTTTTCGTTTTCGTCGTTTTGCCAAAATAAATTTATTAATTAGCCACCCAAGTTTCGGTTTTTAATAATTAGAAAAACGCTTCTAATTTTTCAGTTTGAACTTTAGGACTATTTTAGGCACCTATCAGTTGAAAAGTCAACTTCGAGTTCTTTTTCCGATATGGATCAGTTAGTAGTTCTAGGTGATTTTAATATACCTGGAACTACGTGGTCCTCGGTTAATAATTCCAATGCTTTACAACCCATAGGCCACAATGAATTCATTGACGATCTGCTTGACATACCTCTGGGTCAGGTAAACCATGTTCGAAACTCATTAGATCGTTTACTTGATTTGTGCCTTGTTTCAAATCCTGAAAGTGTTTTTCTTTCTAGAGCAACACCACTTATGCTGCCTGAAGATCCGGATCCCCCTGCTTTCCCCTTCATAAAAAGGGAAACAAGTCGGATGGTAGCAATTATAGAGGTATTTCTAAATTTTCAGCAATTCCAAAGCTTTTTGAGCGAGTAATAACTCCTCACTTGCAGCACCTTTGTAGATCAGTCATATCTCTATGCCAACACGGATTTATGAAGCGCAGATCTACTACAACAAATCTTTTAGAGCTCACGTCCTTTGTGATAAATGGCTTTAGAAATCATTTTCAAACTGATGCCATTTACACAGACTTCAGTAAAGCATTTGTCTCTGTAAATCACTTCCTATTGATTCGCAAACTTGACATGATAGGGTTTCCAGTTGATCTTTTAAGTTGGATCTCTAGTTATCTTAGTGGCTGCACACAAAGATTGATTTTCAAAAATTTCTTAAGTAGTCTCCACAGAGTTACCTCTCGTGTACCACAAGGAAGCCACCTGGGACCATTACTTTTTACCCTGTTCATTAATGATCTTCCATTGGTCATTGCACATTCCCTCGTACTTATGTACGCGGATGATGTAAAACTTCGTCTGCAGTATAATGAATACTCCCGCCATTCAAACCTTCAAGCAGACCTAAACAATTTTCTAAACTGGTGTCACGACAATTTACTGAAATTAAACAGCTCTAAATGCAAGCTGATGACGTTTTGTCGGGTAAATCCGCATAATGTCACCTATTCGCTAAGTGGTAATGCCTTGGAAAGAATAACGTTTGTTGACGATCTTGCCGTCCTCTTGGACCCTTAGCTTAAATTTTCACTTTATATTTCGAACATGGTTAATAAGGCTAGGGGAATGCTTGGATTTATTAAACGATGGTCAAAGGAATTTAAGGATACTTACTTTACCAGGACTTTATTTATATCGTTGGTCCGGCCTATCCTTGAGTATGGGGCACCCGTATGGAGTCCCCAATACGGAGTTCACGCTGATCGTACAGAATCAGTCCAAAAAAGCTTTTTATTGTTTTACAAGCTATTTGCGAGAGTGCATACATCCGAAACATTCCTTGGTGAGTAGCCTTTTGACACACGGAACAAATTTTGCATAAACATTTAATGCGTCCGTAAAGCAGTAGTCATATTTAAAATATAGCTATTGGGGGGTCGTGAGACAACGTTCTCGGGGGGTTATGAGACATTCTATTACCGCGTCATCTAGGAACATAAAATTGTATTTTATAGCCTGATATAGTGTTTCTGTACACAACCAAAACGTTTAATGATAATTTTGATATTTTTGATGGATTCAGTGTTTTTGATGATCGTTTTTTCTTTCTTTAGTCATCATGGTACGTCATAAGTATAGTCAGACTGCCAAATCTGCGATTGATGTCAATGTTTTTGTGGCTGCTATAAAAGAGGTTGCTATCGAGAAAAAGTCGAAATCTTTTCAATTTGAATAAATTGTAGACCACAAAAGATGCCTTATTAAAGATTAAAATAAACAATTTTGATAAAATGAAGCCATTTTCATTCTTATAAATTTGTGTCTCACAACCCCCGAACATTGCGAAAATCCATAAAAAACAACTTTTGAGCAGGCAGGCAAAACTTGAAGGTCGAACTAAAATTTCAACTAATTATACTCTTGTCTGAGTGAAATTACACTGAACTATGATTTAAAAATTTGTACGGGCAGAAAAATGGCTTTTCTATTATATTTTTTGTCAAAAAACAAAACCCGTCTCAAAACCCCCCGGTCTCCCCTACTCTTTTCATTCACAATCTTATCCGTGGTGAAATTGACAGTGCTTACTTGTTAAGTATACTAAATTTCTCGGTTCCAAGTAGATTTACTAGAAATTATGTTCCTTTAGTTTTAAATCTTTGTAGATTTATTATAACGTGCATGAGCCTTTCAGAGTACTTTGTTCGGACTATAATAGACTGTTTCCTATAGTATCTTCTTCTGACACTCTGCAGCTCCTAAAGCGATTAATAATAACATTTCTGGCACGAAATATGATCGTTAAATTTATAATTAAAATTAAATTTAAATTTTCTTTCGTTTCTAAATTTTTTTTCTTTTAAATATCGCGACTAAATTTTCGCGAATCGTGCCGTACGATACACGGATGTCGCTCCTCGGTCGGTTGGGCGGGTGGTGGGCAGTGGTTCAACCCAGTCTGCAGGTCAACGATGTCGTCCTAATTAAGGATGAAAATCTACCACCGCTTAAATGGCCATTAGCTCGTGTGTTAGAGCTGATAAAGGGAAAGGATGAAATCTGTCGAGTCGCTGTCCTGAAGGCTGCAACAGGAATAACCACGAGAGCTGTTGCCAAATTGTGCCTTTTGCCTACAAAGGATGATGTTGAAAGCAGCAGCCTTCCAACGGGGGAGAATGTTTGGTCCAGCCCAAACAACTTAAGGGGTTATATACCTTTTTTGTCGAAGAAAAAGAGGAAAGTTCGGATTTTTTTTTAGGTATGTAGCAATTATTTAATTACACGGGTGTTTTAATTTTTTGATAGCAAAATTTCGTGGAAAAATATCAATTAGTTTTTAAGGGGTGGCTGTTTCCCTTAGAGGCCTTTTTTTTTAGAGCCTTGCGGTGATAACGCTCCTGGTCGAACCGGTCAAATAAAACCATAAAAGTAAAAAAATTTCATTAGTTTAGAGTAATATCTTGTGCTTGAACGAACGATTTAAAATTTTTTATTTTTTTATGTATACGGGAACGTTTTATGCTAAAAATGAGCTTTTTGGTCTCTAGAAATTTCACTAAAAAATTCATTTCGGCGAAAAAAAATTTTTGCGTGAAAAGTCGATCGTTCAAGCACAAGACAATTTCATTACGAACATTTAAAAAAAAATTTGAAGTAAATCGGCTTAGTAGTTTTCCGCCAATCGTTATCACCGCAAAGTGATTTTTCAAGAAACACCATTTCGAGATATTCGCGTTTAAAGTTTCAAGTTCAGTTTCGGGCCGCTACGAGGCGCGCGGTTAAGAGCGCTGTAACTTTTTTTCTACTGCTCGAATCTCTATGAAAATTTGGGAAAATGTTCTCAAGGAGTTGTTCTTTAAGATAAAGCAATAAAAATTTTTTCGATTTTTTGAAAATAAAAAAAGGTATATAACCCCTTAAATAACATCTCGTTTGTTTTCTTAACATAAAAACTATTGTAAACTGCCCTGCGAGGCAACTCTTTTAAATTCTCTTGCCCTGCGAGGCAATTCACTTAACCATCGCTTTGTTCTTCTCTTATCATTTATCACTTCGTACGTCTTTGTCAAGCTCATGCAGCTGCATTGCAGAAAATAGTTATTAGTCGTTGCTAGATCGCTGCATTTAACGCTCAAACCTTTTGTGTTGAATTTGTGTTAGCAAAATAACTTCACAGCACAATGTAGCATTAGCTGTTGTCTGTTGCTTCGCTGCTACATTGTTGATTGGAGTCCGCGAAGCCCATTCTGTATTCATACTTCGCATGGATTTGATATAAGTAGAAATAAAAACACCATACCGCTTTCTAGGAATCTAAATATTTTGTTTGAAATGCATGTAAAAGATATTCGTGGTAGTAAATTAAAATCCGAGCAAAGCCTTTAGATTTGATTTCGAATTTAGCAATCTATAGAAATGTGTCAATAAACAACATCATTTTAAAATCATTTTATGGTGATGAAGTTATAGCACAAATTTCTCTAATACATACTATAAAATCGACCGTCCCAGTTTCAAAATCTTAAATTCCACATTGAAGTTGCTTTTGCTAAGATGATAACAAAATAACAAGTTAACTGGACTGGACTTAAGGTTCGACTGTTTTCCTTATGGGTTTTATTGTAAAAAATTTTAAAAATAGTTTTATCATATTTAAAACTAAAAAATAGTTTTATTAAATCTGACCTGCGAAGTAAGGCCTTTGGAAAGCCACAAAAAAAGAAAAAAAAACACGCCAAAACCTCTATGTTTACGGTGGTCAGGAGTTGAGGAATAAATTGTGTTTAAGTAAGGTACCAAAAATAAAGTAGCTCCAGCTTTATGATATAGCCGATCTAATGTGGAAAGTTTCAATCTGAATCTTCACAGGCGAAACTGCGGAGGCAGTTGCTATATAAGCCAAATAATAAATAATTATACAGTTTATTACAGAATTTATAAAAATTACAAATAAAGTCAGCATAAAAGAGCATGGGAACATGAACCTATTTCTCCCCAGCTATATCACTGATCGTTAGTTTACAAAGACTGCAGTGTTTGGTGGTAGTGCTGCTTTTTAAACAGGGCTCATGGTAATCATGTCCACACTTAAAACCCGTTATACAATTGTAAACACTATTAATTAGCAAGGGGCGTTGGCACAGTGTACATAGGTGTTCAAACGAAATCTGCTGACCACGTCGTTGCAGGCTCACTACATCTGAGTGGCTATGAAAGTAGTCATCCTGCTGAATTTTTTGCGCGCAGGCAAACATTTTCTTTTGGATATTGTAGTACCAAAGCATTTTAACGAGTGATTTTCTCAGATTTGGAATGTTCTGACCGCTTTTAATTTTACAAACGATTACCTCAGGATTCACATATTCTAAAAGTAAATTAAATGTAAAAAAAACGCAAAATACATTTCAGTTACACTTACCTACGATGCCATCCAAAACTTTGGTCACAATTTCGGGCTGCTTGGTAGATTCGTTGATAAGCAGACTCCAAAGATCATTGTCATCATGCTCCTTGCAAAACTCAATAGCCATATCTATGTTGTTCATCTGTAAAATTAAATGCTGTACTATAAAACTCTTTAGTTTAGGTTTTCTTACGCTGTAAATTATGATATTTAAGGCTTCTATAGCTTCCACTCCACCCATACAACCCAGCAAATAAACCATCTCTGGATAAAAACCTTCCCGTTTGCATATGGTTAGCGCCTCCTGAATGACATAATCCTTTGAACGCTTTAGAAACGGCAAAAGTTTTTTCCGATCGAATTTAGCATACAAGGACACTAATTTATTTTGAAAGACATTACTAGGGTCCTTTTTTATGAGGGCGTCCAAGTACTGGGAAGTAAAACAAGGAGTCAAAGCATTCTGAATCTGCAATAAGAGGCTTTTACCCAATATAGATACTCTTGATTGTGTTCCAGTTGCTGAACAACAATCTCGGGCTTGATTTTTTTTTTGTTTAATAATATCTCAAATGCTCGTTCGCGGTCCAATTGAATGAGTGGTATGATTAATTTGGAAATAACATCGTAAAGCTCATAGCGACGTATTAACTCAAAGACGTCTTTATTTTGCAACCTATAAAAATACTATGAGACAAGAAATAATTAATGAAGTTAGTACTTACTTTAAATACATGCGAAGTGCGCTTTCGAAGTCACCTTGATATGAGTAAAGAAGAGCCAAGGATTCAAGCAACTGATTGCCATGCTGCTTGCGGAAGTTATCATGAATGGCGTTAATAACAGCCAAGCCATCGTAAAGCTGACATGGCCACTCCTTGATGAGATTGAGAAAGCCGTTTATATCAAATTTTAAAAACTCGTACAAAACCATCTCGTACACGTGGGGATCAAGTTTGCAATCGTTCGACGTTGGCAGATAGGCACTAACGGATCGTAATTGTTGACACTTTACAAACTTGAAAACTTCTTCTTCCCAAAGTAATTTGTTATTGCCCAGCATGCGAAGGCAAAGTTTTGCAGCATCGTCATATTGTTTTAGGGTCAGTAAATGATTTATGTATTGTCTGAAAAGTTTTCATTTTTGTTTGTATCTATATATACATATGTATATAAAAACTGTTTTAAAACTTACCTGGCAACAGTAAGAACCGGCATGCTGCTTCCGAATGTGCCTATCAGTTCCATTGCTTCCTCATATTTTCTGCGAAATTTGAGTATTAAAAAGAATTTAAAAAGGTATGAGTCTAGTAGTAAAAATGAATTATTCTATTAAAGTCATTACCGTCGTCTTGTCGTTTTAAATCTGTTCGTGTTAATAATTACTTTGATTATCTTACATTTTTTACATGTTCTAAATTAAATACATAAAGTAAATACATTAAGTGAATAGGCGAGTCAAAATATAAGATTACTCTGAGGACGGCAGTTCACGTAGTGACACCGGACTGTGCAAAAATGAAAATGCAAATGTACTATATGTAGGATTTTGTCCACCTCGTGCTTTTCGAACTGAAAAGTTGTGCGCGGACGAATTTTTGAAGTGAAAACTTCTTTAGCGGCGCTGAGCAGGGTAAAAACATTCAAACTCGCGTCAGGGTCCCGTTATGCTGATCGAAAAAGCGTAAGATCGAGGGGAAGGGAGAGGAACTAGTATCTCCCACTCTTTCTACCGTGCCTGAGTCATGGTACAATAAGAGAACTACGTTGTATAATTGTATCATGCTTTGTATAATTGTACCATGACTCAGGCACGGTAGAAAGAGTGGGAGATACTAGTTCCTCTCCCTTCCCCTCGCTCGGATTTTTTCCCCCCTATGGTTCAGTGCGCTCGGGATTTTGAAGTGAGAGGTTGTCCGCGGACAATTTTTTTTTCTCAAAACGTTAACCCTTGTGTGCTTGTGAAAAATACTTGTTGCAATTATTGCAGCAAGCACATACAAGGCGTAACATGTAATATTGCAGAAAAATATTTTGAAATGTGAACAATATGGGAGCGAGTCCTGAAAGGCAGCTTTGTGTAAAAACCAAAAATTTCGGAAAAATTAATACTCATGGTCATATAATAGTCCTTTTTAAACCCCGTGCACAGCATAAGGGTAAAACGACATCATCTTCTTCTGTTTCTTTTGCACTTACGGGAAAACACCCTCTCACTCGCACTCATTGTAGTGCCCAATAGGGGGAAAAAAAAGCCGACGAGACTACCTTGTACTTACACTTAAATAGGTTCGAATCAAAACTGTTTGTTTCTTACTTCAGTTATCATAAACCAATTGTATCAGTTGTAAAAATTTGCGATGATGATTCTGATAATAACGATGATGTAAACGTCATCGAAATTATGGATGGAAGTTGATTTTTCTGAGAGATAAAATTTAATGTAATATATAAATAACGATATAATATTATAAATAACAACATATAAATTGCCATATTTGTGTACGATAGCGCAATAAATAAACATTGTATTCTACCTCTCTCATAAATGATTAATATTGAAGTTTTCACTTCTGCCGGCACTCCCGGAGTGCTACCGGTGTTTTTTTTAAAACTTTAACCATTTTGTGCCTATCGTTGGAGCAGTGATCTTTTATTTTAGAATAATAACTTTTACTATTTAAAATAAGAAGTATTAAAGTAATTTAGTTGAAGGAGTTAAATTAAAGTAATGCAAATAAAAGAATTATAAAAAGTTGTACTCAAAATAAAATATAAAAACTTCAGTTTTGTACTCTAAGCCTCGCATGTAAAGTAGCCTACTCTTCTAAATTCGGAAAATCCCCAGCTAGGCCGCTAACCGCAAGTTCAACTTTTTGTATAGTTTTCTTTCCAAGATAAATTTAAAGATAAAAGCTAGCGGATTAGGTGCAGCAGTGGACTCGGCTCAGGCTTAGAGATAGATATAGATCTGAGGGAAAGAAAAAATTTTCAGTAGAGCTTAAGGTTTGCGGGTCGGGCGACAATATCGGATAGCTTCCATACGAAAGAATCAAATAAATAATTCTCACGCCGATGTTTTTGAGCGGATCGACTTGATTTCTTTCAGATGGCGTTTCCTAACTACTATTGAATTTCGCATTAAATATCATAATCGGATAGTTCTATCATATAGCTGCCATTGGAAAGATCGAAAAATATGTACGAGGTGTGTTCAAAAAGAATCCGCTTCCAGACGACTGCAATAATCGGCACATCACATGTAAATACGGTTACTCAGATCCGAATTTGTACTACAAATCGCATCTTTAATTGTAAATAACAAGAAAACGGTGCAAAATTTTCACTCTCCGCCAACGGATCTCAAAGTTTTAGAAAAAAACTCATCGTTTCCATATTTTACTTTATTTTTTAAGCTGTATTTACCGTGCACCGCACTTGTAAACAATTACCCAAATTTGTACTACAAATCGCATTTTAATTATTAATAACAAAAAAACGGTGCAAAATTTTTACTCTCCGCCAACGGATTTCAAAGTTTTAGAAAAAACACATCGTTTCCATATTTTACTTTATTTTTTTAAGCTGTATTTACCGTTTGTAAACATTTACCGAAATTTTTATTACGAAACAAGAAATTATTTTTTAAGTCGATACGAACACACTTTTCACACTGCACATATGTAAAAGTGTCCCACTGTAAAAGCACCATGATTGATTTGTTATGTTCTGTTCGTTCATCGCAAAAATTTGCTTTGAAATTTGCCTTTACCATGTTTTGTTTTTCTTTGCACTGCGTTGCTTTGTGTCCGCGTTTGCTACACACGAAGCACTTTCCGTTACATTTACCGACTTATCCGATATAGTTGCCAGTCCCGGTAGGTTCAGCAAGATAGCCTTAAAACGTAGAGTCTAGTTTACATAGAAAAAGACAGACGGATAGAAGTACAGACGTATTTCGATTCAGATCGTGATGTTTATCAAGAATTGTATACTTTATAGGGTTGAGGTGTTTCCTTTACTGCGTTGCAAGCTTCTGACTGAAGTTTTGCTGCCCTCTGCAACGGTATAACAAGAGCTCTACTCGATCTGGCTCCATATCAGGCACCCCATCCGGCTTCATACCCGACACCTGCGTCGGAATCAATGCCGCAATTTACACCGGATATGGCAGCAATTTTTTTTTTTTTTTTTTACGGCATTATGTAAGGTGCGGTACGGTTTAGGTGCCGGATACGAAGGCGGAAGGACTGATGGACGTGGCGTTAAAAAAAAGCGGTATTGACTGCTTACTTATTAACAAAACTTCTGCTGTATTGACCTCTAGAATCTGTAGGTTTAAAAAGGCGTAGGCGCCACAAATACACAAATTATTATCTTCATTTTAAACCCCAATACCCTATTTTTTTGGTTCCCGAAGTTTTGAAGTTCAAATGGACCGACAGACCGACTGGCAGACATAGGTCGACTCGTAGAGTAACCTAATCAGGAATTCTAGGCGTCGCAATGTGCTTCGTATGCCTGAAGTGTACTTTTCAAGAAAACATGTTTGGAACGTGACACGAAAGATTGCAAGATTTATTGGACAATTTGAACTCACCCAAAATCTACCCGCGACCCACACTTACAATACTGCAGTACAGTACAGTTCTTTTAGCAGTAACGGGTAAACTTAGTCCATTTTGCAGTCTATTTGAGGATGCTGGCATGCGAATGCCAAGTCCAAAATTATCAAAGTCACTCTGTTTTTATTATCGCACAAACACTATAATCGGAATCTTAAAACTATTGAGCAATTAGTAAAAGAAACAAGACAGAACGTTATAACAGTAACGGTTAAAACGTGTAAGCAACTGAAAAGGGGAGTAACTAAAAAAGATGGTGAGCAAAGTGAGTAAGAAACTGAATCTCCTTATCTATGGTAACCAGTGTCGGTACAATTATGCATTAAGGGCTTTTGTTAAAAATGGGCTAGGAAACTTTTTTTTAAGTTCCACCTTGAGACCCTAACATTAATAAAAATGTCGGAAAGCGTGATTTCTAATTAATTATTTGTTAAAATAGCAATTAACACTGCGGCGAGACCAAACGCTTTTAGAGCATTGCCGCAGTGTCAACTGGCACATTTTAAGTTTCTGAGGCGCTAAGATTTGAAGACATATTAATGTTAATCAATAAAATTTATCGATATCTCGGACCGTTTACACCGCCATGGCGTGAAGCGCGCGCACTATAATCCGACATTTAAGGATCGATATCTCGTAAACGGTGCGAGAAATTGAAAACAAAGGTATTCCTTAAAAAGTGTGTGGGCCACCCAACTTAATAGAGATGTGAATATTTTAATTTGTTCGACCTTCTCTTTGCCACTAAATTTAGCCTATGAAAAAAAACTAACGATAACATCACATTCCTTTTAAAGCATTCCACAAATAGAAGGTACTCTGTGGAGAAAGTATATAAGCAGTTGAGCACCGTCGTTACATATTTTTCTTTTCTACGGTCACTCTGCTAAATTATTACCAAAAATGAGGCGATTTAATAATTTAGTGACTTTGTTCACAGCGATATCTGCTTTTTTTTTTGGAAGTTTTATAATGAAAATACTTTGTTCGGTAGAGAAATGTCCGGCAAATAAAAGTGAAGCTTTCCAACTGAAGTCACATCCCAATCTATTTCTTTTGGTGGTAGTGCTTAGCGCTCCGAGCAACTATGACCAGAGAAACGTAATAAGGAAGACTTGGCTTAACAGTACAACACAGCCCCTTCAGTTGCCTTACTACCCCGAAGATCTTATTTATATTCCACCCTACGGTCCCAGTGGACATTTGCAATTGGAGTCGGTTCCACAGCAAGCGAATCGGCTAAGACAGTATTTGAAATGGCAGAAAGACCTGCTATCAAAAGAGCCCACAAAGAGTCAGCGTCGTATCAAAGTAAAACACATTTTTTCTATTGGTACAGGGAAGTTAGGCAGCTATTTGCAAACAAAACTGCTAAAGGAACAAGAGCAACACGGCGACCTTCTGCTACTGCAAGAGCACCAAGACACATACTCCAATCTTACTGTGAAGTTGCTAGAGACCCTGGCTTCCCTAAGGAGCAACTATACATTCTCCTATGTCCTTAAAGTGGACGACGATACATACGTCAAGCTGGACAGTCTTGTTAATGAACTCGTCTCCTATGATCGAAAGTTACTTCGTAAAAGCATTGAGTATGATCAAAATCCTTTACCTCAACTTTACTGGGGCTACTTTAATGGTCGGGCAACAATAAAAAAAAGAGGCCATTGGAAGGAGTCAAATTATTATCTAAGCCAAAATTATCTTCCTTATGCTTTGGGCGGTGGATACGTTTTATCTCAACAGCTTTGTGAATATATACTTAACAGTTCTCACTTGCTCACGCCGTATGTATCCGAGGATGTCTCAATCGGAACCTGGGTGGCTCCACTACGTCACGTCTATCGCTGGCACGATCCCAGATTCGACACCGGGTATATGCCACGAAAGTGTCAACCCTATCATATTGTTTTGCACAAACGGAATCTGAAAATGATGACCGACATCTACGGCGACAAACTTTGCAGTAATACTGGCTCGAGCTCTTTACCCGAATACTACTATGATTGGACGAAAACGTCGGACAAGTGTTGCGACAGCTTAGTAGTATAGACACGCCATGAAAAGTTTTGAACCAAAAATAGAAATGAATGCTTTGCCTACCTGTGTTTAATAAACCATTCTATGCGGTCATCCGTTTCGATAAGGCTAGCTACGACTACATCCTTAGGAGCAGCAATATAAAACCGATTTTCCTCGACTATGCAACCAAGAGAATAGTCATTTACGGTGTATTCCTCATAGCCACGTAAAGTCAAACTGTCTGTGCAAATCTCTTCGCTGGTGTTCATTTTGTATTCAATAACGCACAGAACCGGACGAAGGGATTTAAAAGAATCGCTTCGTCTTTTGCGGTAGCCAAGCACCACTAACTGGCTGGCTGTCAGAGGGGCAAGTCCACATATATAAAAAGTAGTTTGAAATGTGGAGACTACAATATTTGAATAAAAATTTAATTTTTAAAATACACTTAAGAATGTTATATTACTCACTCGGATCCACAATATAGCCTGGTAGACTGCTAGATGATGCTTCGATAGGATTTCTCTTGCGAATTTGGCAAATTCGTATAGTGTCCACCCAACCAATTAGCAGAGTATGATCGTTTGTCCATCGCAGGTGGCAACGAAAGTTTTCTAAACGCTCCTCTGTAGGAATCTCCCATTTCATTAATCCAAGCGAGCATTTTTCGTTTAAATCATAGACCCGAACACCTATGTGACTCGCCCAGGCAACAAAACTACCCTGCCAGCAAATCGCCAGAACATTGCCTTCAACTGAGCACAGTTCAATTGGCTTAAATTTTTTAAGTAGGTTGCGCTCGTACAAGATCAGCTTGTCGTCACCTAAAAAATATCGCGTTTGTCGATAGTTAAGTAAAACATAAGCTGCTTTATTGACCTACCCACAATAAATCGTCTACTGCGAGCACTAGGATCGGGCTCCAGCGCCACTGCTTTTATAGATTTTCCGCAACTTAAATTTTGATTGTTCTCGCTATTAAACAAACCAGTAATGTTGACCTGAAATATACAAATTTATCCTGATCTATAGGCCCTTCAGTTTAGAGAATTACTTTTCCGTCGTCAGAGCATGTGGCCACATACTCGCCTTTGGGGTCCACATCAACTTGATTAACTGCCACCTGATGAGTTTGACGTCCGCTGTTACCCAAATTTGAATCCACAGAATTTCCTTGATGATCCAATAAATATACGTGCCCTCGAAAAGTGCCAAATATAAGAAACTACATACATACGTATAAACATACATATTTATGTGCACGCAATTCTTTTAAAATTGTATCCTCACCTTTAAATGTACAGCAGTGCACGTTATTACATCAGTATTAAGTATGTTTTTCAAGTCGTTAGCAAGGCGTTGGTACTTAAACTTCGGCTCCACTTCTTCATCTTCCATGTTTTCGATGCCAGAATCCTGAATGTAATCAAACTGCAAATTCTGATAATTTGAGATAAAAATACAGCTTACGCAGATAATTGGCATAATTTCAGCCATTTCTACTCCAAATTATTTATTTTTATTAGGTTTAAGATTTTTACATTGAAGTCAACAATGTCAAACTTCATGGTTTTTCACAAATTTATACTAAACACTTTCCACTCAGATTTTCCTCTACCTTAATGGTCAGTACACACTAGAGTTTGTTTTGAATACCACTTCTTGAACGGCATTCCTTGTTGGCGTATGTTTTTAGGCTGTTCACAGACGCATCGCATCTGCATCAATGTTAATATTGCATATTACAATAATCCAGATTAATATGTAAAAGAAGGTATTTGAATCTGAAAGTTTCTTCGGGGTAATTGTTTACAAGTGCGGTCCACGCTAAAAACAGCTTAAAAACAAAGTAAACGATGCAAATGATGTGTTTTTATACCCTTGCAGAGCAAAAGGGTATTATAATTTCAGTCAGAAGTTTGCAACGCAGTGAAGGAGACACCTCAGACCCCATAAAGTAGGGGAGAAGTGGGGGTTGTGGACATGGGTCGGTTGTGGGCAGCCCTACGTATATTTTCACAAAATGAAGATTGACTTTTGTTGGTAATGTCATTCGCAAGCAATTACCCTATGTATGATTTATGCCAAATATCAAAGTAAACGAACGCGTTTGCTTTTTGAAATTAACGAATTGGTTTTTTTTGTGCTTGGAAAAGGTGGTGAAACTTTATTCAAAGATTTTCAATAGTGTATCAATTAAAGTGAATTGATTAAAAAGGTAAGTGTAATGCATTTTTATTTAGTCAAAGCATTATACTAAATGGAACAATATCGATTTGAACCAAAAAATTTATGCAAACACATTTTTTAATTACTTCTTAAAATGTCTGCGAAAGTTGGTTGTGGGCACCAAAATTGGGTGGGTTGTGGGCACCCGTTTTTTTTTGCCAAATTTTTTTATTACCTACAATTTCTTGTAAAATTGTTTTCAAAATTTGTTTGGAACCCTCTAGAACATTCTTGTAGAAATCTTAGGCTCTTGGAAAAGGATCCTCTCCCGCTGAGAGGGATTATCACTCAATTGTGACATCTGCGATCGAGCTTTTCATCCGAAATGTGTGGACATGCGGGGCAGTCATTATACATGTCAAAATTTTGTTTCCGACGATGAATAACGCCTATCCAGTCTTTGAAATAAATAAATTGTCATTTTGTTGATATTGGTTGCGGTTTTTTTTTCCATATTATTCCATTTGCAGCATTTTTTCCCAGGGTGCCCACAACCCCCCAAAAAAAAATTTTAGCTGAAAATTACGATTTTACAAAAGTCCATATGAAATTTTTTCGCATGACAAAATCAAGTATGTTTCTTCATAATTAGTTAGCTTAGGTCTCTAGCTTTACACAGATACCCATATGTCCAAATAATATGCACTAGTTCGGTAATTATAAGCCAAAAACAAAACTATGCCCACAACCCCCACATCTCCCCTATATATGTTCTTGATCAGCATCACGAGCAGAATTGCAATACGTATGTACGTCTGTCCATCTGTCCGTCTGTCCGTTTCCGCGCAAACTAGTCTCTCAGATTTAAAGCTATCTTGCTGAAACTTTCCCAAAAAATGTGTAGTTATTGCACGCAGTATATAAGTCGGAACGGGCCGGATCGCCCGACTATATAGGATAGCTCCCATACGAGAGAATGAAATAAAAAATTCTCACGCCGTTGTTTTTGATGAGATCGACTTAAATTCTTCAAGATGGCGTTTTCTAACTGTTATTGAATTTCGGAATATATTTGAACAAAATCGGATAACTCTATCATATAGCTGCCATAGGAGAGATCGAAAAATATATTTAGAATTAATGGAAATAAATTGATAGCATCGTTGTTTTTTATCCCACGAGCATGATTTTTTGAGTATCACGTTTCTTAACTAGCCTTGATTTATAAAAAAAATTTCATAAAAATCGGACAACTATATCATATAGCTGCCATAGGAAAGATCGAAAAATCTATATAGAATTAACGGAAATAAAATGATAACATCGTTATTTCTCATCAGAAAATCATGATTTTTGGAATATAGAGTTTTCCAACGACTCTTGAGTAGTAAATAAAATTTCATCAAAATCGGGCAACTATATCATATAGCGGCCATATGAACAATAGTCAAAAATATGGAAAACTAATCGAAAAGTCGTCGTAGCTTCGATGTTCTTTAGCCTTTGTGTATTCTGTTCGAAATATTTGATGACTGCAAGGGTATATAAGCTTCGGCTTGCCGAAGCTAGCTTCCTTTCTTGTTTTTCTAACATTTCGAAATCCGTTGGCGGAAAGTGAAAATTTTGCACCGTTTTGTTGTCGTGTTGAAGTGAGACGTAAAATATGTTGAAGGCGAAGAGGTATTACGGCAGGTTCTCACCTTGTGGCGAAAAAAAAATCGATATTTTTTTTTTTACTTTTCGAATAGATATATGTTTTAAGAATGGGCTCAACAAATTTCAGATCAAAATTTGAAAAACTACAAGAGTAACAGGCATTTACATGGAGCACTTGTCGAGCACCGGCCATTTGAAGCCAAAACTTTAAACGCGTATATCTCGGAACCACGTTTTCTGACCTTGCGGAAGTAATTAAAGGCGTTGGGGTTAACCAATCGTCATCAAATTTTTTTTTAAATGTTCCTAATTGTTTCCTTTAACTAATGAACTAGGATTATCCAAAAATATTGAAAACTGTTTATTTGAGAAAATAATTAGTGAGAAAAAAAGGGTGAAAATCGTAATTTTTTTCTTAAGGGGTTATATACCTTTTCCAGGCTCAAAAAATCGAAAAAAATGTTATAATTTTTTTTAATGTACATACTTTCAACAATTTTTCTGCAAAATTTTTTCGAGATCGGGGCACTAGAACCTAAGATACAGCCGTTCATAGCGCACGGTGTACATGACTACCTAATGTCCACCTAAAACTTTAAGCGCGATTATCTCGGAATCGCATTTTTGAGAAAAGGTCATTGCGGTGAGCACGATATCTCGGTAACCACTACATCGATCGATTTGAAATTTTGGGGGATTGTTTGTAGATACAATAGCTAGTTCGTGAACGAAGGAATTTTATTTTCGACAAATTTTTCTATTTTTTTTGGGGCGAAAAACTAAATTATTAGACCTCGAAAAATCGTTTTTTTTTTTTTTTTAAATAATCACTGTAACTGTAAAAAAATTTTTTTCGTAAAATCCTTCGTTCACGAACTAGGTAACACTATATACTAACGTAGTTTTTTTTTTTTTTTTTAATTTGAGCCGTTTCCTTGTTTTCATGCTCACCGTGAGCCACTACTGAAAAAAGGACTTCTGCGGCAAGGACTGTAACTTCCAAAATTATGAAAATTTTCACTCGAAATTTTATACGAATTTACTTAAGGGCACGTACGTTGATAAAATTTGTATTGTATTCAATAAAACAATGGTAACATGCTAAAAAAAAAATTAAAAAAACCCTGTATTTCTCTGGAGAAAAAGGTATATAACCCCTTAAGCAAATGACTTGCAATTTTCATTTTTTTTTCTGATCCTGGTTCATTTTATGCACAGTACTGTACACTTTAAGAATCTTTTTGGTTTTTGTATTTCCGATTACCCGTTTTGGTTGAATCACTTCCGTAAGCGGGGCACCTTTTCGCCGACATGCCGCCACTGAGTAACGCCCCCTCCCGCCCCTTTTTGTTTTTATTCATTTTCGAAATTTTTTTTCCCAAAATAAATATGTTTTCAAATAAAGCTAAAAATTTCAGCCTTTTATCTTTAACCGTTTTTTAAAAACAATTTGTTTTAAAAAAGTGTAATTTTTCGGCCACGCAAGGTGAGAACCTGCCTCAATAAATTATCAGGCCAGCATTAAGGATTTTACTTTTTATATCATAAAGCATCCACCATAAGATGATCAGATTAGCGCAGGCAGCTATTAAGCAGCATCCGATTCAGAAGAAATCGGTGCAGTAGAGGGCGAAAGTTGCAAAGGCGTATTTCCAGAAGAAGTCGACGCAGAGAACTCAGTACCAGAAAACGTGTACCCAGACTCAGGAGAGCAAAATTCTGATGACGGCGAGCTCTGGAATTTTGAAGGAAATAATGACAGTCCGTCAAACAGCCCGGATGATGTTGTACAGTGCCCTGGTCCGCACTGGGTCGGTGAAATGAAAAATTGTAATTATCTAAATAAACAATAATACAGCTGATCATAAACAAAGCCAACGTTTAAGAGCACCAGGTCTGTAACGAAGAGCGATAATGAGAAAGGCTCGGCAACAACAACAACACGAACGTCGGGTATGGTTAATGAGAAACAACGCTTACTTCTCCATAAGAGCAGAAGAACCGAGAACAACTGCGACATTAAAAGTGAGTACGAAGAGAGCACTCTCGCTCTCTCCCGCCTTATTATGTCCAAGCGGCGCATCACAAAAACAGCAGTGGAGTGCCCCATGCCCGCCCCCCCGACCCTTACAACATTACCAACGATCTGCTGATAACAACAACGACCAGCACATTGCCAGTGTTTAAGACGGTGACATCGACACTAACGGCAACAACCACTACAACAACCACATCAGCTGCTGTCTCTGTTTCGTCTGCCCTTATTGACAAGCTAGCCAATACCCAACCCAAAAATACTAAAAATGTTAACAAATCGTTAATTCAAACAGTAATCGATCGGTACGTGCAAATTAAAAGAAAACTAAGCCCACAAGCAGCAAAAAAACAAATGCATCAAAAGTCACGAAGAAAGTTGAAGCCACTGTACCAAACAATGCGCTAACAGGAAATCGGTGTTCTATTCTGAGTGACCCAAAAGAAGTTAATACCGCTCAAAAACCTCAGGCCGAGCAACTAAGGCCACCACCAATTTTTGTACGTCAGGCTAATTGTTCCGAATTGGTAAAAAAAAACCTGACCAAATTGGAGCAATACGATTTCTATGTTAAATCCTTAAAAAGGGGTAACATAAATGAAACAAAAATACAAGTGGACAACGACAACGGAAAAATATATTAGTACACCTACCAACTTTAAAGTTGCAAAGGACTACAAGTAGTTATTAAAGGTAAAGATAATAACTGGACTTAAAGAAAAGGGCTTTAATGCCGAACAGGATAGGATTATATTAAATAAAAACAAAGTTCCGCAGCCAATGTTCAAGGTAGAGTTGGAGCCGAAGACTATGAAATTAAAAAACAATGAAGTCCACCCAATATATAAGCTTCAATATCTGCTGCACCGTAGGATCACCGTTGAGGAACCCCACAAGCGGAATGGACCCGTGCAATTTATGAATTGTTAGGAGTACGGTGATACGAAAACTTACTGCACTCTACGTGCAGTCTGCGTTGCCTGCTGAGGTGCACACTCAACTGAGGCCTGCCCAATAAATAGAATAACCATTCTGCAATAACATGTAGTAATTGTGGGAGAAACCACACTGCAAATTACAGAGGTTGCCCTGTCTATAAAGAGTTGAAAAGTCGACTAGGCCAACACATAACTGCAGCTCGAAATCCTGTAACCCGAAACATTTCTCCATTTATACCAACGACCACAATCCCGGGAGTTTCTTTTGCACAGGCGTTAAGTAAGAACAACGGGACGAACGTCTCAGTATTTAAGTTGACAGTTCAGCAAACCACTGCAACCAACATCGCCCATTTTAATTCTTCTCTACGACCATCCACAGCTTTCTAAACGAACACATCTTCTAACTTCCAGTAAAACAGATTGGCTTAAATACAGAAAGTATGTAAGTATCCATATATTACTATATTACTGGTTTCCCAAACATGTACCAAAAAGAAGAGATTGACAGCTCAGTTGAAGCACTAGTGTCGTTATGTCACTAGCTGCTCAACACTCCACACCTACTATATCGGCTTGTAATTTTAATTCTAACTTTAGCAACAGTCGAGCTTCTGTGCATATCAACGAACTGCTACGCAATAAGAGAAGGCTTCGGAGGGAGTGGCAAGCCCACAGATCGCCTGCCTCGAAGGAGCAGCTTAAAACAGCCAACTATCTTCTTCGCACAACCCTAGAAGATGAAAGTAATCGATCCCAATTATTCTATTTGCAGAATCTCTCCCCTAACAGCAGACGATATCCACTGTGGAAAGTTAAATCGGGTATATGTCCACCAATCGAAGGTGGATCGCCATTACACACACAAACAGGAGAGTGGGCTCGCAGCAACGAAGAGAGGGCGAATGTATTTACTGCGCATCTGGAAAACGTCTTCAAACCGCTTCCACCAACAAACAGCTTAGTGCTCCCAACAATCATCACTATAGGCTACCCTGCCTAACGCATTCGAATCAAGAGAATTGACAAGAGTGATAGAGGCTCAGGAAAAAAAGAAAGCGCCAGGACACGATCTAATCTCCCCGAAAATGATTATGGAATTGCCGAGCTGTGCAGTAAATCTTCTCACCACGATATTCAACAGCATTGTAGATCCAAAAAGGGGTCTACTGCTAATGTGGCCCTGTGCCACAAGCAACTTCAGAGCAAATATCAATAATATAATTGAAGGCCAACTTGCATAAGCCGACGGGACAGACAATGTAATAATAAGTGCGTGTGCTTCGTTTCAGTTCTTTTCTCAAGTGATCGTTATAATTTTCCATATTTGTTCTTAAGCTAAGCGCTGGCATAATTGCGCGTATATATGTAAGCATGCAAATCATAGATAACAATAGATAATTGGAGAATGAGCGAATTTCAATATGCAAGTGAGCGACTATTAAAGAGCGTAATGTTAGCTTAAGAGTAGTACTTCAATTCGAGCGTAACATAAGAGTATTGGTTTAACTATAATTACATATAAATATATATCTAATTAGTAGGACTTCATGAAATGACTTAACATCGGCCGCGTTGAACGGCTGCAAGGCTTCAAAATTCATTTACAGGCAAAGGAGCTAATCGACGTATTGATCGCTTAAAAACACCAGATTTAGTTCTGACGACCGCCACGCGAACTTTTCCATCCTCGCCTTTGATGACCTCCTCGATGACTCCCATTAGCCACTGCTGAGGCGGACTGTTGTCCTCGTGGACCACGACGATTGTTCCGATTTGTATATTGTGGCTCTCGCTTAGCCACTTCTGTCGTTGTTGCAGGCTCAGGACGTAGTCTTTTTGCCAGTCTACCCAAAACCGTTGCTTGACGGCGGATATCAATTGCCATCTCTTCAAGAAGCTCAGTTTTTCGTCTGTTACTGGCTGACTTGAGACGAATGGCAGCGCAACGAGCGTTGTTCCGACCAGCAGATGAGCTGGGGTCACTGCTTCGCCGTCGTTCGGATTGGAGCTGTCCACGACGATGGGCCTCGAATTGGCCTTGACCATTAACCCCTTCGCTGATTTCAAGGCCGCCTCCCATAGGCCGCCAAAATGGGGCGCTCGGGGCGGGATGAACGAGAAGGTGATCCCACGCGTGGCTGCGAATTCCGTTATGGCATCCTGATTGGCAATAAAATGGTCCTTGAATTGCTGCAGCATTCGAGAGGCACCGACAAAATTGGTGGCATTGTCGCAGAAAATTTTCTGGACACGTCCACGCCGGCCAACAAACCTAGACAAACACATGATAAATGATTTAGATGTGAGGTCTGAAACAAGTTCTATGTGAACAGCTTTAGAGGCAAAACAAACAAATATGGCAATATACATCTTTACCGCTGACTTCCCTCTAATTCCTAAGGTTACGAAAATTGGACCACAAAAGTCCACTCCACTGACTTCGAACGGTCTGTTGCCGTGAAGACGATCAGCAGGTAAATTTCCCATTATTTGGGTTGCCAAGACTGGCTTATAGCGAAAACAATGTACACACTGCCGTACAATGCTATTACACGCTTGACGAGCGTTTACCAACCAAATTTGCTGCCGAAGAATAGCCATCAAAGCACGTGGACCTGCATGACAATTCGAACGATGCAAGTATTGCAGGTATATTTTAACGAACCGGCTATCTTTTGGCATGAGCAACGGGAACTTAGCATTGCGTGGCACAGGAGCTTTCAACAAACGACCGCCGACTCTAAGCAGCCACCACACATGCTTGCCATCTTGATGAGGATACAAGAATGGATTAAGTTTCTGAAAACTTGGTTGTAACGTCAAGGGTTTATTTAGCCTCGCAATTTCATTTGCGAACTCGATTCGCTGCAATGCGGACACCACTGCTAAAAACGCTGAACTCAGTTCTTCCGCTGATGGCACGAGTGAAGTCTGTTTGTGCGATTTTCCATTGATAAATCGGAGCATATATGATACGATGCGCAGAATTTTCAAATATGACGAAGATTTGTCAACGAGGTCCAAAAAGGATTATCCAGTGCATCGGCCGCGATCAAGACTGTGGCATCCTTCCGCATCTCTAGCACAGAGAGATCGTTGGGGGGTTCTAGGTGGTAGTTTACTGGCCAAGAGGTTTTATTTTCCTGTAAGAAGTTTGGGCCCGTAAACCAGATTGATTCCCTGAGCTCACTAGTTGAGCAACCACGTGAAAGGATGTCCGCTGGATTCGCGTTGGTAGGCACATGACGCCAGACAGCTTGTGAAGTCAATTCTTGAATTTCTGCTACACGATTCGCAACAAATGTATTGAGGTATGATGGTGCTTCTTGATCCAATACAGCACCACCTCAGAGTCCGACCACAAAAAAACGTCGTCCACTGGTGAGTTCAACAGATCCCTGATTTCACTCCATAGCTTCGCCAGTAAGTGAGCAGCGCATAGTTCCAACCGAGGCACAGACTTGGTTTTGAGAGGTGCCACTCTCGACTTGGCTGTGAGCAATCGTGTAAACGTTCCCTTCCGATGCTCCACTCTGACATAAATGCAGCAGCCGTATGCTCTCTTTGACGCATCGGCGAATCCGTGAACTTGGTATTTAATATTTTTTCTAATTCCGATATGTCGAGGTATGTTAAGCGAGTCTAGATTCGAGAAGCAATTAGTCACCGAATTTAATTGCTCAATTAGATCTGTGGGCAATGCTTCATCCCAATCTAACTTATGCAGCCAGATTTCTTGAATGAGAATTTTTGCACGAGTAAAAATTGGACACAATAATCCAAGTGGGTCATACAAACGTGCTACAAACGATAGAATAGACCTCTTAGTCGGCACAAAATCGAGTGAAAGATGGTCTGCAGAGTATTTGAACACATCACTTCTGGGATTCCAAATCAAACCCAAAGTTTTGGTGTCTTTGTTTCTGTTTGAAGACCATTTGCCTAAACCAAATCCAAATGGTTTTAATACAGAGTCCAACTCCTGCTGCAATAGCCCTAATTCCTCTGGCGTTTCTGCTCCCGCTAATAAATCATCGACATAAAAATCATTCGCAAGTGATTTCGATGCTAATTTATGCGATGTTGCGTGTATTTCACTCAAATATTTCAGGCACCGGATAGCCAAAAAAGGTGCTGACGCAGTGCCGTATGTAACCGTGTTCAATTGATATATTTGTAATTGATCTTTCGGGTTTTCTCTCCAGAGGATTAATTGAAAACATCTCTGGGTCTCGTCAATTTCCACTTGACGGTACATCTTAGTGATGTCTGCAGTAATTGCGTAAGGATTCAATCGAAAACGAAGCAAAGTTGCGTAGAGAGATGGATGTATCGTTGGACCAACCATAAGCGTGTCATTAAGCGACATTTGTGATGACGTTTTGCTTGACGCATCGAAGACGACTCGCAACTTTGTTGAAGAGCTTTGCGGTCTGAGCACACACTGGTATGGGATAAAATAATGTGGCTCACTCGGGACTGTGTTACTGATTGCACTCATAAGACCAAGAGAAATGTATTCTTTCATAAAAGAAATATACATGTCTCGGACTTCCGCTTGTTTTTCCATTCGCCTCTCCAGGCCAAGAAATCGCCTCTTAGCTGTCTCAAAGGACGAGCCAAGACAAGTCGGACTAGATTTAAACGGCAATTTAACACTTAGCCTGCCCGAAGGTAATCTGTTCACAGATTCAGTGAACGATTGCTCGCAAAGTAGCTGTTCTGGGGTATATAAATTTGGATTCGCAGTATTTGGAGCTTGCTCCAACTCCCAGAACTTTTTAACAATTGAGTCGACGATTCACCGGTTGTACTTAATAACGTCGTTGAGCAAGCATTTGCATCTGGTGGGGCTTTACAACGACCAGACACGATCCAACCAAAAACTGTTTCACGTAAAGTTAAAGACTCTTGTTTACACCTCAGACGCCCATCTTTAAGAAGATCGAAGAAAGCGTCTGCCCCAAGCAGCAAGTCTACGCGTTGCGGCTTATGAAAAAGGGGGTCAGCGAGATCAATATGACTTGGAATGTCAACATTTTCTACAAGCCTTTCGGGCTGATAGGACGTGATAGATTTTAATATACTTAATTCAGTCATCGTTTCAAAGGAATTCAAACGAGAGGCAATATCAGTTTGAACTGCATGCCGAATGGCAGATTTTGTCTTGCCTATGCCTACTAAATTTATATCTTTGCGCGATTTGGGTAGTTTCAAAATATTGGCCAGGTTTTCGGTAATAAAATTGACCTGGGACCCAGAGTCTAAGAGTGCTCTGGCCATATGGTAAGATCCCAACTGATCTTTTATTTTTACAACTGCGGTAGCTAATACGACTTGGTCAGAATCACTAGCAGCGAGATTGGCGGACGACACTTGACTAGATGTCGAAGTTTGTGCTGGTGGAGCTTGAGATTCTGTTGCATACCTATACAGTAAAGTATGATGCGGCTTTGAACAGACTCTGCAAGTGCTCGACTTGCAGGTAGTAACTGTGTGGCCTTTCCGTAGGCAATTTACACACAGGGGGAACGATTTTACAAACTTAAAACGATCATTGCATGGGATAGCAGCAAAGGAGGAACAAGATTGAATGAAGTGATCATCCGATTTGCAAAACGAGCATTTTGGATTATGCTGTTCATTTGGCTTAGCCACTGTTAGCGACGTTTTTCCTCCCTTTTTTCCACCATTGCGCTCATATTTTTGAGCTCGAGAAGCTCCCCCACCTGAAGAATTTTCTTCAGCAGAGAGGTGCTGGTACCTTTTATTAAGGGCCTTTTCGCAATCATCCCAAAGTGGCAGTTTTGTATAATCTAAATTCTCCTCCCATTTTGACCTAGTCGTAGAATCCACCTTGCCCATAACTAAGTGTATTAGCATAGCGTTGGAGATCTTTTGTCATTTCCTAAAGACAACAACGACTCATACACCGCTCTTACTGTGTCTATCAACGAACGCAGTGAAGACGCAGATGCTCCATGCATTTTTGGAAGGTCGAATAACTTTGAAATACTCTCAAACACAATCAAGCAACTGTTATCGTAAACGTTTTTTAAGGCAACTAATGCTTTTGGGTAATTAGCATCGGTTACTTGATACGATTTCACAGTGCCTAAAGCCTCTTTCTCTAAGCAAGACAACAAATAGTTAAATTTTTCAACATTTGAAAGAGAAAGGGCATTTTCAACGAGGTTTTCGAACAGTCCTATAAAATTCTTATATTCCGAATACTCCCCACCAAACCTTGGCAGTTTCATATGGGGCAGTTTTTTGCTCTGAGCAGAAGTTGAGCCTATCATAGTTGAATTTGCAGGATTGTCTTTAATGACGTGATGACTAGTGCCTTTGCTTTTAAGCAGAGCCTTTGTAGTTGCAGATAGGTCTTCTAGATCAGCTCGAGAAACAAGCTCGGTGTTAATGTCATCCAAATCTTGTTGAATATTAAAGGCTTTTCCTACATATCTATCAAGTATTTCTAAGCGGCAATCAATTTCAATTGGGTCGACGTACCCTGAGTAATTTTTAACTGTAGTTTTAATACGCTCAATATCAGCAACAACATTTTTATACTGTTCTAACAATGTATCAAGGCGACCTAAAGTTGTTTCACCTAGCGATTTGTTTTGCCCTTTTCCTTTTTTACCCGTCATAATTGTACAACTCTGCTCCAATAGCAGCCAACAATTATACAAACGAAATAAAATGTAAATAAAAAACAAACAAAGAAGGAATTGATGCAACAACAAGTGTGGTCAAATGCTAGTAAGCGATGCACACGCCTTATGCCAATTTATGTATGTGTGTGTGACGAGATGTTAAAATTTAAACTCAAATGGCCGAATACCACTAAGCAGTACACGGACTATATATGTATGTGTGTATGGCGAGATGTTAGAATTTAAACTAAAGCGGCTGAATACCACTAAGTAAAACGGACTATATATATGTGTGTATGGCGAGATGTTAAAATTTCAACTAAAGCGGCTGAATACCACTAAGTAATACGGACTATATATGTGTGTGTGTATGGCGAGCTGTTAAACTTCAACTAAAGCGGCTGAATATCACTAAGTAATACGCGCAATATATATGTATGTATGTGTGTCGAGATGTTTGAATATTTAACCAAAAGTGGCCGAATACCACTAAGCAGTACACGCACTATATATGTATGTATATATGTCGAGCTGTTAAAATTCAAACAAAGGCGGTCGAATACCACTAAGTTCTTCGCGCACTATATATATATGTGTGTATGGCGAGATGTTAAAATTTAAACCGAA